TATATATATGTAAAACATCAGGTAGTACTTCGTGTTATGGACGAAAATGAAGAGTGTAAGGGAAATTGCAGTGTGTATATCTGGATGGAAGGGCTACTATTTTATTTAGGGTAGTAAGGAAGTCTCATTGATAAAGTAGAAGGGAAGGAGTGGACCACACAGTTTCCTGGAAGACGCTTGCTATAGGCATTTGCAGTGGCACAGATAAGGGCTTGGAGATGGAAGTGTGTTGGGTAGCACTTACTATGTGTTAGGCATTGTTAGATGCTTTATATTCTTACATATTTAATCCTGTTATTGTATTTTTTTGGAAATATGAGACTCAGAGAGGTTAAGTGATTTGCCGAAGGCCACACAGCTAGTTAGGTGGTGGAGTTGATATTCAGATGCAACTTTTAATCATCATGCTGCTTCCCACTGGGGACTCTCCTTTTAGAATTGGAGCTAGTGTTTAATTCATGGCCTGGTTCTTTTGATTTCTTGGGGATTAAACATCAGTAGTGGCCAGGATGACTCCTGGCCCTGGAGTTGCATGGTTGGCAAGAGCTCAGGGCCTGAGGTTCCTTTTTGTGAGTGGAGGAAAGTAATATGTTTGATGCTGGAAAACCCCATGTTGTGTTTATGGCAGAAGGGGGAAAAAACACCTTCAGATTATTGTAAACAAGAGAAATGGGAGAACGGGGTAGCCCGAATCCCGCCGCCCTCCTCCTTCGTTTTAATTTGCCCGCGATAGGCCCAACACAGCATGTTGTATTATACAGCGATAATTAAAACTCTTGGATTAGTGAACTGAGATTTATAGGGCAAACAGGAGCCAGAGGAAAAAAACGACAGTCATCTGTTTTATTTGCAGGCAGATATCCAAATTGCCACTTGCTTGCTTTTTCTTCCCGACACTATCACCTACTCTGTTTAATTAGATCCTTTCTTTTCCATATCATTTCCAAGTGCCGGCTCTGCTTGCTGCTCAGCAGAGTTTGTGAAGCCACGTACTGAACGCCTTCCGCAGCCGGGGGAAGATAGATGTGAGTCAGAAATGCGACAGCAAACAGGGGAAGGAGGGTACCTTTGCATTGGGCTGTCTAGCCGGCCTGTCCATCCTCCTCACGGAGCAGGGACAGGAGGAGCTGGACCCAGGGTCAAGATGAGGAAGTGCTGTCCGCCTTCCTGAGACAGTTTTCCACTAAGTGCCTGTTTTTTGTGGGGAGAGGAGAGTGAATTCTCCAAACAGTAGACCACTGGCAAAGCAAATTCTAAAACCAAATATTTTACTGTGTTCAAAGTATCATTCTAGAGACTCTGGGAGGTGAAGGTTTGGGGGGCCTGAGATGAAGAAAATGCTGTCAAATCCACAATCTAGTAGAAGGGACAGCCAAACATGGCTGGCGAGGATTTTGGGCCACATTTATTTGTTTTGGCCAAAATATTTGTTGAGTACCTGCTGTGTGTCAGACATTGTTCTAGGCACGGAGGGGATACAGCAGTGGCCAAACAACAAAGAATCCTTGCCCATGTGGATCTACGTTCTACCTGTAGGGGAGGGGATGGCCGTGAACGCCTTACTAAAGAGCATAGAAACCGGGCAGAAAATGAAGTGGGGAAGGTGGCTCAGGAGTGCGGGGGCTTGTGGTTTTAAAATGAAGCAAGTGGAGACTGTAGAGCACGGAGACTGACAGATCCTGTCTGGAATCTGGGCTTTGACACCTACGAGCTGTGTGACCTTTGAGTTTCTGTAATCAACTGGTCTGAACCTTTTCTCATGTGTAATGTGGGGCTAGTAATACACGCTCATACAGGGATAAAACGAAAAAGACAATATAACGTACATACCTAATCAGGGTGTTAGCCCTTATGAGTATTAAGTGCCTGTAACGGGATGGCCGAGCTGAAGGAGGAGTGACTGATTACAGTTGGGAAAAGGTTATTGTCCCTGTGGCCTTTCTTTTTTCCAGTAATTCTAGTTTGTGCACCAAGAAAGCGGCAGGAGCGCAGGTGAACTCTTGCGGGCTGAGTTAAGACTAGGGAAGGTTTGGATAATGATTTGGTCTGTGGACATAGGTTGGAGTTAGAGAATTATCAGTATTTTGCATTCTGTTTTTAAAATTATTTTCAGCATCCTTTGTGTGCATCCAGATAGTCCACAGCAAGCCTGGTGGGGAGGCTGGGACTGCCCGCTCGACAAACGACAAACGGGAAAACAGGCACAGGATGTGAGTGCCCAGCCAAGGTCACCTCCAGTCTCCAGAGGAGATCTCCTGCCGGCCTGGCGATGAGTCATGCTGGCGTGTTGCTCCCGGGGTGAAATCACAAAGGAAGGAAGGCTTGGATTTATTGCAGGCAGCACAGGAAGTTTCCTGTTCTTGAGAAATCTTAGAAAAGGTAAACTCCTCCACCTGAGGGGCCTCACTGAGTAGCACCCAAACCCCTAAAAGTGCCTGATCTGAGATGAGGGAGGGGCCTTTGGCATGTGCAGAGAAGCAGTGAACAAAGGAGACGGCAAGGAGAAGAAAACAGGAAGAGAGTAGTGGCTGAGAGGTCAATAGACCTGGGCTTGGTGGCTGTGCTACTGACCAGCTTGGTCAGGTCATACAACCTCTCTGCGCCTCAGTTTCCTCACTTGTCAGGTGGGACCATAACAGTGCCTGCATGACAGGGCTGTTGGGAGAGTGAAGTAAAAGGCTTGTGCCAAGTGTTCAGCACGGTGCCTTGCACGCAGCCGACGCTTACTGACATTGGCTGTTGGCAGTGGAGAGGAAGAGGGCGGAGGAGTGGGCAAGGCCCGAGGGCCCAGGGCACTCCGCAGCCTCTGATGCCGCGCCGTTCAGATGGAGTCTCGATGAAGCTCCGTCCACCTGAGGCTTCCAGAGTCCGTCACACAGGAGATGTGATCTTGGCCCTCTAGGAGTTTATGCTGGGTCCAGCAGAGCAGGCCAGACAAACATCCGACATCCTTCTGTCTTCGCTCACCCTCCCTGGCATCGTGGTTCAGTGGGCACGGTGGGCCTGAGAGGGGCCCCCTCCCCCCACCTTAACCTTTGCCTCTCTGGCTGAGACCCATCATGCCTCCCGTCTCTGTTGACTCCATATAATGAAAATAATTGAGCCTGTCTCCACCGATAACAGTCTAGAAACAATCAGGCCCCGCCCCAGTCATCTGCCTCTGACTGAACACACCCGGCCTGCTGCGGCCCTGCCTGCCGGAGCCAGGTTCCTGAATCCAAGCAGCGAGACCCCACGGGCTAGATGCACGTTTCCCAGTGAAGACACGAACCGTCCGGGGTGGCTGGTGCCCTAGTGGACGCCTTGTGGTTTGCTGAAGGGTGTCAAATGGTTCTGAGACCAAGGTGCAGAAACTGTGAAAGCACCTCTAAGCAAAACGTTAATGAGTGTGTGTTTGAATCTTGAATCTGCCTTTCGTTGTCAGCCTTCCTTCCTTGACACTCCCTGCCCCTGTTTTAAGTGGAAGATTTCATTATAGAAACAGATAAGGGTCAGGGCTTCAGAGTTGCGTGTGCTTGGGGAAGGGAAGCTACTGCGGCTCTGTATTTTTCTGATTTCTGTATAAATTGCCCGAAGAGCGGACCTCATAGCTATAAGAACAGCACCTCCCGGCGTGAGCAAGAAGGGCAGGGTTGTCAATTAGAGGAAACTTATTTAATTTAATTATTCTAGTCCAAAGCCCCCATTTATGTTTGTATATTTTGTTAAGATATTGTAACAGTCTTAAATAAAAAAAAAAGAGTTTAAACCACTGATAATTTGCTGTCTCTGAAATGACCCTGCTCTTTTGCCAGGGCTCCATTCCAGCCGTGTCCCTGCACATACGCACATGTATGCACGTGGTGTGGACTCTCACGACGGGCCTGGATTGTGTGAAACCTCGTACATATTTTTCACCAAATCCTTGCAATCACTCTAGTAGAAAGGAATTATTATCCCCCTTACTCTGATGAAGAAACCAAGGCTCTGAGAGGTCATGTGGTCATAGTTGGCAGACCTGATTCCGTCCGACATCTGCCAGCTTTGTGGTCGGTATGATTTTGTGTCTGTTTTTCACTCAACCTTGTAGATATTTTCCTATGTTCCTCTGAAGTCTTCCTAATTGTTGTTTAAAATGGGAACATAGGAGTCCCTGAACCATCATTTGTACAAACATTTTCTCCTTTTGGGCATTTGCATTCTTCTATTTTATTTTATTTTATTTATTTTTATTTATTTATTTTATTTTATTTTATTTTTTGAGGCAGGGCCTTGATCTGTTGCCAGGGCTAGAGTGCAGTGGCATCATCAAAGCTCATTGCAGGCCGGGCGCGGTGGCTCACGCCTGTAATCCTAGCTCTCTGGGAGGCCGAGGCGGACGG